TACTATTTTATTTTGTTTTATTTTTATTTATTTATTTTTTTGGTGCTGGGGATCGAAATCACGACCTCACGTTTGCCAAGCAGGCACTTAACGGCACTGAGCTAAATCCCCGGCCCCTAATCCTCAGTATTATTTAAAAAAAATTTTTTTTCTTTTCAAAAATTATTTGTACTGTATTTTTCTCTTACTCACAGTGTGACAGTAGCAACATGTTAAGAATTTCCATAGAAGAGATATTCAGAATTACCATTTATACACACATATATATGTTCCATTAAAAAATTATGACATTTATTTTATTGTAACATGTTAGATATATATAATAAACATTCATTTACAAATTTTATCAACTTAGTTGCAGGCAACCATAACCATAAACTTTTCAAGATCTGCTGAAATTTATTTATTTATTAATTTGGTACTGGGAACTGAACTTGATCTGCTGAAATTTACAAGCCACACAAAAGAGAAAAATTCTTAAGTTTAAAATATTTGTTAATTTGGGGCCAGGGATTTAGCTTAGCAGCATAAACATCTGCCTGGCAAGCACAAGGTCATGAGTTCGATCCTTGGTATATACACACACACACACACACAAAAAAAAAAAAAAAACAGAAATTGTTCATTGGAATCAGCTGAATTGAATTAATCAAAATACTGCTTTGCAAAGTAAAAAAGGAATAACAAAGACACATAAGATAACCACGAATCTCTTTCCTAAGATCTATTTCAACAAATTTAAGAGTACTTCTTAACTATCCTAAGGACAGTTTAAAGAAAACATTAGGTATATATATATAGAGGGAGGTGTTTTAATTTAAAAGAGAGTGTGGTGGCATTTGCTTATAATCCTGGCTACTTTCAAGGCTAAGACAAAAGAATTGCAAAGTTTAGCCCAGGCATTTAAGGGGAACAGTGTGACAATAAAATTTTAATAAGGCCTGGGAATGTAGTTCCATGATAAGAATAGTTGTCCAGGATGCAGGAGACACAGGGGTTAAACCCCAATACCACAAACAAAATAATAATAAAAGTAGTAATAATAAACAGTAATGACAATAAAAATTAGTATGCCCATCTTATTTGTAAAGAGAAAGTCATAACAAAACAGGATATTATTAGTTCCTTAATACAATCTCTTCTTCCTAGTAAATTTATAAAAATACAGCTAATGATTTTAATGGAAAACAAAGCTTTGTTTAGAAATTGTAACCCCTAAAACTCAACTTTAAAAACCATTAACTCAATCCTTATATTGCCACCAGATTAATCCATTTTGAATAGTCCATGTATCAAAACTAAATTAATATTTCGTCATGATTTCAGAGAGGCCTTACTATTCTAAGTGGATTGTAGATGTAAAAGCAAATAAAGTAATACAGCTTCATCAGCCATTAGTAGTTACTGCATCTGTAACAAAATACTACATTAAATGTCAATAGATAGGTCAAAACACTAAAAGATTAACAATTTTATGTCTTCAACATTTTCCAAAAAAATACTATCAATTTTCTTTATAAATTCTCAGAAAACCACATTTCTGCAGAAAAAAAATTTAAGCCAAAACAAATATTTCATATTCTTAAATCACAAATTTTCAAAACTTAAAAAAACTGGCCAATCTTAAGATGGGTATGCTTGCCCATGCCTAAATTGCTGCATTCTGGAGACTGAGGCAGGATGATCATGAAGAGTTCACAGCCAGCCTGGACTACCCAGTGAGTGCAAGGCCAGACTGAACTATGTAAGGGAGACCCTGTCTCAAAACAAAACAGAAAAAACTTGAATAAGAAAAAATTCTTGATAAAAATTAATTGATAAATTCCACATTTTTGTAAATTTTTAATTCCAAGCAATGTCTTATAATAGTGATCACTGCCTACACTTTCTACCATTCTGTTAAAAAACAAAAATTAGCCCTAATACTGGGAGGAGAAACTATTAACTACCTTTCTGCCTTTTAAAAAAAGTCTCAGATTATTAATTTCCCTGCTTCCATAAGCATTTATAATGGTAACTCAATTCACAAACTCAACTCTTTCTGGCACAAACTGATTTGAACAAGAATCAAATCAAATTCAATTGTTAGGTTCAATATTAACCTTATGGGGAAATCTGACTCAGTTCTTAGCCAATTTGGTTTGTGACCAGAATTATAGAAAGAATTCAGGTTGTAAACCAAAGTAACACTGTAATTTTTAGAATTAAGCATTTCTTAAATTAACTGGTAATGATTATCCCTGAATGTCAAGAATTTGGTACTCAGAAGCATACAATTAATGCCAGCAAATGAAGCTGAAACTGCAATAAGATCTGGAAATTTATTTTTTTAATGTATCTATCTATCTAACATAAACATGTTTCCTTATAATCTGTTTCTCTCAAAGGCAATCATTTACTTCTTCAAAATAAACTTCATTGTTACTCAAAAACCACAGATTTACAGTACTATTACTCCTAAATGAAGTTTTATAAACACAGGGAACAAGCACATGTATATTTAACAGTTGCTCCATTTTCCCCAAATTTAATGCTCTTGTCTGATTTTCTAATTTACATAATAAACCACCAAGAAAAACGCAAGTTCAAATACCACAAAGTGTTATCCTAAGAGAAGAGTATATAAAAACACTGGGTGAAGATGTTCTTATGTATATGAATATACATACACAAACCTTGAGTTAGGATGTTCTACTTCCTATTTAGTTAAGATACATATATACAAACATCACATACCCTAAACGAGAGAAAGCAAGGCAATACTCAAACGTAAATAGCACTGAATAGTACACCAAAACAGAAATCACACGTGTTTTACTAAACCCAACACAATAAAGATTTTGTTGAGACTACTGTGTCTACTTTTCAGCCTCACAACTTTCAAAATATAAAAATTTTGAAGAACTTTTAATGTAAAGTTGAAAAGACTACCAAAAGGTTTTAAAACAACACATAAAGAAAGACGACAGGATTCAGAACATGCATGTTTTTTGTGGTTAGTTTTTTAAGACAGGGTCGTAGGATGTAGTACAAATTGGCCTTGAACTCACTAATCCTCCTGCTTCAGCCTCCCAAGCACTGGGATTACATGTGTGTGCCACCACACCCAGCTAGGGCAGGGGTTTTTTTTGTTTGTTTTTGGTTTTTGATTTGTTTTGAGACAGGGTCTCATTCTGTAGTTCACAGTAGCCTTGAACTATGTAGCACAGGCTAGCCTCAAACTCACAGCAGTCGTCCTGCCTCAGTCTCCTGAGTGCTGGGGTTATTTATAAGTAAGGCATGTGCTAGCATGCCTGGACAGAATGGGATATTTTAGGAAAAAGTTTAAGTGTCATGAAATAGCTGTAAAACATACAAAAGGTCATAATGCTTAATTTTAAAAACCATTTTGTAATTAGCTGGAATTTTTCCTAATAAAAAGAACAAGTCAAAGAATAAACAGATATTTTCTATAAAACACTGGAAATAGATAGTAAAGAGGTGCTAGTATTTCTTTTTTTATGCTACAATGAGAAATGTTTGTCTAGGACAGGCCAGGCAAAGCTCTGTTTGAAGGCAAAGATTAATTACAAGACCTAAAATGAAGTGCATCTCAGTTTTAAAATTTTAAGTGAAGAGCCACCAGTAGTGGCACATGTCTGTAATCTGTGTGGGAGGCTGAGGGAGGAAGGTCATTATGAGTTTCTAGCCACCCTAGGATACACAGTTTAAAGCCTACCTGATCTATAGAAGACGACCCTGTCTCAAGAAAAATAAATAAATAAAACAAGCACCAAAGAAATCCTATGAAAAAAATTTTAAGTGAAGGAACATAATCTAGTAAAACTATATAAAAAAAACATGGGCCAGGGATTTAGCTCAGTGGCATAAGCACCGGTCTGGTAAGCGTGAGGTCATGAGTTCAATCTCCAGTACAAAAAAAAAAAAGAAAAGAAAAAAATATAGGTGCTATAGAAAAAAATTAGAAATAACATGTAGAAGAAATTTTCTTACAATCAATGCTAAACAACTGTGCAAAATAGTTTTTTACATTAAATTATATGGCAGGCACCAGACATGATGATACATACCTAAAATCCTAGCACTCAGGAAGGTAAAACAGGAGAACTGCTGTGAGTTCAAGGTCAGCCTGGGCTACAAAGTGATTTCAAAGCCAACCTGAATTACACAGCAAGACTGTCTCAAAACAAAAAAGAAAGAAAGAAAGAAACAAAGAAAGAAGGAATACCTGCATTAAACTGAACACGGTGAAACACTGACAATCACCTGAGGAGGTTTTTCTAACTACTAGTGACTTGCCTCCGTATTCCTTCTGAATTGGCAAGTGTGTGGAGATAGGTAGCAGGATTAAGAAGAAGGGTGGTGAACACACACTATGTGACAAATGTTTATATATATGAGGAAAACTCCCCAGGTGATTGACACATCTACTGTCTACCATTTGCTGGGAATTTTGTTTACAAGTAAGCGATATGCTACTAGAAACAATTTATTCATACAAACTAGCTGAAATATATACCTGAATAAGGAACGGGAAAATTAACTTAAGATACCCTATAATAAGCTGGCATTTCACCCATATTTAAGTTAGTGAAGGAAAAATATCAAAGTTTCACAAAAAATTAGACTTAGGTATGAACTATAAAAAGCTGTTCAACATTATCTATAAAATTAGCTTAAAATTCAATTGTAGAAAAAATCCTAGTTCCAATCCATTCTACTCTTCAAGAGTTTTCTTAATAAGCAAACATTTTACCACAAAAGATTATAAAAACATTTAAAATACAATTTTATATAATTTTATTCGTGTTTTAGAATTTAAACAACTTGCTGGGAACATACTTAGTGAGGCAATGTAGTCTTTTTAAATTTAAATCTAAACTTTGAAATAGGCTCACTGTTTTTTTCAAGAGCAAGCAACAAATGTTAGCTGAAAATAGCCAACTTAATGATTATTTGTAACACAGATCTGATTTTGTGAGCCTACAGAGCCTCCCCACCTCTGGTTTCCCTGTGGAGGAGGGAGTCTTTGTGTGCTTTTCTGTGTTGGTTCCACTGAATTCATTACAATAGAGATGGACATTTGATATTCATAACGATCCAACATCTGAGCAATCTTCTTTCGAGACACACCATGTTTATTCCTCCTACCAAAAAAGAAAACGATTGTAAATCTTTTATTCTTCCATAGTTTACAGACTCAGAAATTAAATTATTTTATAGTAACAGAGTACAGATTCTAAATAATATTGTGCAAATAAACAGTAGATGATGTTTCATTTACATCTTTTTTTTTTTTTTTTTTTTTGGTCTTTTTTGTTTTTATCGGTACCAGGGATCGAACTCATGGCTGCCTGCTTCCAAGGCAGGCGCTTATGCCGCTGAGCTAAACCCCCAGCCCCTCATCTTATACAAAGATACTCAGATTTGCTCCCTGACAGCAAAATGTTAACTGACTATGCTTTCTTTTTTTTTTTTTTTTAATCGGTACTGGGGATCGAACTCATAACCGCCTGCTTGCAAGGCAGGTGCTTATGCCGCTGAGCTAAATCCCCAGCCTGACTATGCTTTCTTCACAGGATCTGTTCACTTAGCCTACTGAGCACATCTCCTTTTAATTAAAAAAATCAAACAAAAACATAAAAAATGATGAGATATAGTGTTTGAGAATTGCAGAAGAAGTGAATAAACACTTAAGATCTGCCCAAAACAAGGTAAAAGACCAGATTTTAGAAGCTATTTTAGAGGCTGGGGGTATAGCTTTATATTAAATTCAAACTTTATATTAAATTCAAACACTTTATATTAAATTCAAACAATTTATTATTTTCAATACTAAATTATTATTAAACACACAACCTCTCTCACAATGTTAACAAAAGACATCATATATAATGTATGACTATATAAAAAAGTTTGAAAAAAAGGCAAAATTAAACTATGATAGTAAGCTGGAAGCTGCTATGGTAAGACTTAAAAGAAAAGTGAGAAAGGGACTACAATTACCGACTCAAAACAGTGGTTAGCTTTACAGGATTAAAAAACAAATTGGGAAAAGGAACATGATGAGCTTCTAAGGTGCTAATAATACTCTCATGACAAGTGTATAATTGTGCTCTAAGAACTTTGTTAAGCTGCGCATATATATTTTATAGGCTTTTCTGTATATATATGCTTTCAAGTATACAAGTTTATGACAACAAATATTTAAAAATTATCTTTGATCTTGAAAGAACTTTGGACAATTTATTCTATCTTCAGTTTTTAGTAACTTAACTCAAGACATGCAACACACAGAAAGATATTTTATACTTCATATCATAGTCTTCAATTTACTAATGCCAATTCATTTTTCCCAGAAAGAAACCACAACAGAAACATTAAATTTTCAAATGTTTCTTACTCAAGATAAAATTTAAGTCCCTTGAATATACATGAAGCTGTAACTGTTCATAATTTAATCATTCATTTATTAAACATAACCCTAATAACTTCAGTTTTTAAATTTCTGTCTTTTCCACCTCAACCGTGATGCACACAGTAATGTAGGCAAACAAAATGATATTAATATTTATGTCTATCAATATATAAGTACATACCACACAAAATAGAAAGAAAAAGAAAATGACCAAAAGAATGAAAAGCAGAGAGAAAAGAAATTAGTTGGAACACATATACAGAATATTTGCCTAAAGACTGGGTGTTGCTCAGTGGTAGAGGATGATTAATGCACACTGTGTTCAACCCTTACCACCACGGGTGCTGGGACAACACCTTAAAGCTGGCAGAGGTCAAACTACGATGGAAATAAAAAACGGTTTAAAAATAGGTAGTAATGGCTGCACAACTCTCTGAGTGTTCTGAAAAACAATGAATTGTATACTTTAAATGAGTGAACTGTAAGGCAGACTGCAAACTATGCCACAATAAAGCTGTTACCAAAGTAGGGCACAGTGAGGAAGACATGAATGATGGGAATAGCACTGAATGAGGGAAAAGGATAAAAGGAAACACACACAATCTGGACTGAAAAAGTATCAGAAATGCAGTCTCTCACCACAAATTGTAAAACCTATGAAACTATAAAAACTGTTTTGTGTTATTCAGATGGCAGGAAACCTAACCAGATTTGTACTCATTTGGCTGCACAATTTACTCAAAACACCGTATTGTGTAGAATCTTTTCTATTTACTTAGACTGAATATTTTGCTACAGAAATATTAAGATGTTTGACTATGACACACTGCCTAGACTCCGGCAGGGGTGTTACACCTACATAATATACTATGGGACTCCCTAAAATCCAAAGAAGCTGACTCTAAGCATCTTGGTATGGGTTATGGATTTATAACAGCAAAAATGGAAAAGAAGTAGCAAGGTGAAAGTACAAGGTAAAAAATGATAATGCCCAAAACAGGAAGGAGATAAAGATAAATGAAATGAAGTGGCTTAGCTAAAAATGCCCAGAGGGAAAAATTCTAATTTTAGTCTCAAAACTTTCTTGGACCTACATTCATTAACAGTAAAATGTGGATCACATTAAAAGTAAGAAACATTTAACAGGAAATTTTAATAAAGTTTAATAATAATGAACAACTCAAAATCGTTTAAGTCAATGTTCTCTTAACAGAAAATAAGAAACCATAGTAACTATACACAAGAAACAAAGACAAGCAAAGCTAGGGAAATAATTAATCATGTCAAGGTAAAACCGAAAAGGAAGCAAGGGAGAATTCAACAACAAAAAAAATCCAGCGCCTTACTTTTCTAATTCTTCAGGATCAAATTTCCACCAAGTTTCAGGTTCATGAAACTCTACTCTGTATCCTTTTCCTATGGCCTACATAAAGAAAAGGCAGAAAACAAAACCCAGAGAATGGTTCTTAAAGTAAAAAGAAGGCAGGCAGACAATTTCATTTAGACAATGTTTCTAAATGTCCTCAACCAAGAAAACTCTACGAAACAATATAATTCATAAAATTTTAAGGCTGCATAAATAGATAAATCCCAATTATTATTCCCAAATCCACAAATTACAAAATGAGCACATTTTTTAATGTGTACCATTCCCCATTTTTTAAAAACTTAAGTAAACCAAGAAATCTCTATAGAACAAAGACAAATGTTTTATTTTATTTCTTTGATACCAGGTCTTGAACTCAGGACCTTGTCCTTGCCAGGCAGGCACTGTGCCACTGTTTTATCCTTGCTCTGACAAACATTTTAATAAACATCAAATTAGACCAAACTTTCACAATATGAAAAAATTAAAAAGAATAAAAACTAGATTTGTATTTACCATTTCCACATATGGTTTCATTTCCCAAGCTTGTGTATTAGTGTTGTCTATTATAACTGGAGATCTCCCCTGATCAATAGCTTGCTTTGCTGCAATAAAAAGTAAAAACAAACAAAAAATAAAACTTAAAATATACAAAATAAAATATAAATATTTAAGGAATATTCTACATTTCCATATTTAAAACCAAAACTGTACATTCTCTTGAATCAATGCCATGAAAAACAAGGACTCCAACAGATGAAAAGAGAATTAAGAGACATAAAATATGCCACATGTATTCTCTACACTGGATGCTGATTTTGACAAATTGGCTGTAAAGGACACGCTGGGGTCATTTTATTTTATTAATTTATACCTATTAAGCCCTCAAGCTAGAGCTAAATTTTATTTACAGAAAACAGAGGAAAGAATGGAACAAGTTAGAATGGATTCAGGTTATGTATGAAAAAAAGATAAAAATTTACTGAGGCAGAAAATGTTAAATGAAAATACCAAGTTGTGAGGCAAGAGTCAAATATTATCTTAATTAGTTCAAAATATGAAAGAAAAATAAAATATGGAGGGAGAAGGTTCACTTATACATTGTAAGTGCTCATCTGTAAATGGGAGCATTTATGCTTTTGAAATAAGAAAAATTTATACATTTAAAAAGTTACAGGAAGCTGGGGATTTAGCTCAGCGGCATAAGCACCTGCCTTGCAAGCACGTGGTCATGAGTTTGATCCTGGTACCAATAAAAAAAAAAGTTACAGCCAGGGATTTAGCTCACAGTGTAAACGCCTGCCTGAGAAGCACAAGGTTGAGTTTGATCACCAGAACCAAAAATAAATACAAATAAGTTATAAAAATATAATATACATAACATATAAATAAGTTATAGAAATATAATATAAAAAGTTAGATATATCATTTTAAAACAGAAAACTTTTATATACCAGGTAATTAAATATCGTAATTCAACTGACTGTGATTTCTTATAACTATGATTCTCAAAAAGGATCTAGGACAATGGACCTTTTCTAAATTTTATCCCCCTATTCCAATGCCATTACCTCTACCATGAGATGAAAATCACTGTCATACCAAGCCACTTTTAATGACCAGAGAGTGGGTATAGACCTTGGGAATAACACATAAGAAAAATAACAGAGAACTTTTAATAAAAATAAAAGGCTGGGTGGCACATGCCATAATCCCAGCTCTCAGGAGATAGAGGCAGAAGGATCACTGTGGGTGCAGGTCCAACCTGAGCCACAAACTGAGCTCAAGGCTCGCTCAACAGCATAGTGAGACCCTGACTCAAAAAGACAAAACAAAGGCGGCGGCAGGGGGCGGGGGGGGGGGGGGGGGGAACGACGACGAAGACGACTTAGCTCAGCTGTGTAAGTGCCTGCCTGACAAGTGCAAGGTCATGAGTTCAATCTCTGGTACAAAAAAGCAAAACCAAGAAACAAAAAAAAGTAAAAAGTCAAGGCAAAATGCAATGATAGGAATGTCTTCTTGGGACTTAAATTCACTTTTGCTTGTTTAGGGGAATTGAACTCAGGACCTTTGCTATACAAGCATTCTCCCACTGACTTATAATTCAAACTAGTAAGTTCTGCATAATGAAAACATTCATACAGATGTCTAAGAGAGCTCAAAATCTAAATGTTAAGAAATAATAACTATGGTAGCATATCTATTTGGGAGATATTAAATATAAAAGAAAATTAAGAAATCGATATACACATAGGTGTTATCAATTAGTGCTGGCTTGCTGCTAGCAACAAGATGCTATCATCTTTCTCTGCTCTATCTCCAATCATAAATACTGATCATTTATCCCACTTAAAATTTTTATTAAAGTAATTTTTCTGCCTGGCATGGTGGCCCATACATGCAATCCCAGCACTTGGGAGGCTGAGACAGGAGGGTCACTTTGAGTTCAAGGCTAACCTGAGCTACACAGTGAGATCCTGTCCCCCCAAAAAAGTAATTTTCCTAATGTCTGATAGTTAGACTTACACATTAAGGAGTTGTGTTCTAAAAGACTAGAGCTTCTAAGGAAACAATATTTGAATACCAAACAAGAGTTGTTTTCTTACACAAATTATAATACCATGCCCTAAGAAAGACAATGACATCTTTCACACATTTTTGATTTATGTATGTTTTTAAATTAACTAAGGTTCTTTAAATAACAAACATGAAGAAAATAGATTTTTTTCAGAATGGTGACTGGAATTTGAAGCTATTCAGCAAGTGTTTACAAGAGTACTTCTTACAGCCAGGTGTGGTGGTACACTCCAGTATTCCCAGCACTTGGAAGGCTGAGGCAGTTGGATCATTGCAAAAGTTCAAGACCAGCCTGGGCTACAAAGTGAGCCCAAGGCCAGCCTGAGCCGCATGTAGACCCTGTCTCAAAAAGACAAAAAAAAAAAAAAAAAAAAGTAATTTTTGTTCTGATAATATGCTTATAACCACAGAATATCCAATGAGGAAAGGTGTTGTAGTGCATCCGTATAATCCTAGCTACTCAAAAAGGCTACAGTAAAAAGATGGCAAGTGCAAGGTAAACCTAAAACTTAGCAAAACCCTTAGTCAAAAAACAAAAAGGGCTAGAGATACATATCAGCAGTAGAATTCTACTGGGTTCAATTTCCAGTACCACCAGCACACACACATAAATCTCTCTAGTGATTGCTAGATAAGATTACCTCGAAAAGTTTTTATCTGTTAAACTGAAAAGAAAACCAATACTGTAGCCTTTTCCAGAAATCTCCATTACATTGGTGCTCTAGTGGTGAGGTCAGTTAGTGTACGGTACTTATACAGAAATCTCCATTACATTTATCAAGTATAAATAATTCATAGACGGTTTAATGAAATATTCTTTATTCACTCCATTTATCACTGAATCTTGGTTCTCTTAACTTTAGACCAATAAATCCAAACACTTTTGGAATTGTAGTATCATCATTATTTGAGCTGTTTAACAATGTTCTATGGCATTACATCACAAAAGTAACATTTTTTTGAGATTTTTATGTCACTCTCAAATATATTTGGAGAAATCCTAGAATGTCACACAACCAATACAGATTGCTTACCACTTATGTGAAAAGCTTGGGACCAGAAGGGTTCAAATTAAAGACAACTACAGGATTATAGGACAAATAACAGAACAGCGTCAGAACTTGAAAGGAGAAAACTACCTCTGAGAAGACAGCAAAGTGGTGAGCACCAGAGAAAGAACCTCTCCAAGATTTGATGTTCAGACACTGGAATGTAGCAACATGAGAAAGAAAAGGAGGGAGGCAGGTCCCCAACACCCACAAAGGATCTGTAGCAAAAACTGAAGCCCATGGGAGAACAAAGAGAGGAACTTCAATGAAAAAAGAGGGTGGCAGGCAGTGCATTCTCCCTGAGCACGGACTCACCATGTGGGAGAGGCAATTGGAACCTGCAGATGCCTGGTGACTACTAGCAACCCCAGAGACCTCCACCAAGAAACACAATAGAATGGTGCAGTGGACACAGTGGAATGCAGTGGTTGGTAAGTTATTCAGGTTCAGATGTTCCCCAGGAGAGGGCAATTGGCCAGTAGCCATCTTGGAGAGGGGCCAACTGTACTCAGGACTGAAAACAGCTGCAAGCTCCATCTAATGGCTCCCAGTGACAGGGTCAAGCTGCCAAGTGAATCCAGCAGGTCAGGGAGCCAAGTTCAAGCGGGCAGGAAGCACACAGAATTTTAGGCTGAACAACTCTGGTTCCAGTCTCAGAGCCAGAAACCAGCCTGAACTTCAGTGGAACTAAAGGTACAGGCTTGCTGGGATTACCCCCACTCCCCACCCGTAAAGCTACAGTTGGCTCCCTTGAGATTAATCAACTAGGATACGGACTCTGTGTGCACTGTCTCCAGTGACAGCAGAGACACACCTGGAAGTGACAATTTTTTTTTTATTTGGTTTTTCATTGTTTGCTCTTAAATAAGTACGAACAGAGTTTCTAGTGTTGTTCTATTGTTTTTCTGTTAGGGTCTTGTTTTACTTCTCCCTTCTCATTCCCTACCTTTTTCACCAGTTTTCTAAAGTTTACGTGATCTTCCTTTGTCCTCCAGCCTCACTTCTAATCTCTTCCTTTTCTTCTATTTTCGCCCCTAATCTCTTTTAACTTTTCTCTCACGGGTAAAATCACCATATTCTGCCCTCAAATTGAGTTCTTTACTGCATATAATTTTCTGATTTATTTTAGATTTTGTCATATAGTCACAAATTTATTTCACATGTTAAAGGTGGCAAATTAACAGCTACTATAGTTTGTCATTTTCTAGGCTATTTGATGCTATTGTTACTGCTGATCGTACCACTTTAGCCAAGGCAACACAGTTGTTCTAATAAAGGGCCAGGAGCACAGCTCAGCAGCTTAAGTGCCTATTTGGCAAGTGCAAGGTCATAAATTCAATTCCTGATACCCCCCCAAATAAAAATTGTTCTAATCAGTTATTCTTCCTAGTATACTAAGATTGAGATTACCTAAGGGTCATGAAAAATACCCAGTACCTATAAAGAAAAGCTCATCAGAATCGCAGCAGACTTTTCAAAACAAATCTTCAAGTCAGGGAGAGCTTGGAATAAAGTACTTCAAAGTCTTAAAACATAACAACCACCAACCTAGACTGATTTACCCTGCAAAACTATCTTTCAAAATTGATGGAGAAATAAGATTACTTCCACAAACAAAGAACACCAGAGGAAATTCATGACCACCAAACCAGCAGTCCAAAAAGTTCTGAGGGACATTCTAGAAAGAGATAATAAAAGTTACTAGTCTATGAACCCCAACAGAATGAATCTACCAGGCAAAGCAAACAATTAAGCAGAGGGGAAAAAGGGAGCCAACAACAAGAAAATAACATGATATGGATGAGTCAACCTGTATCAGTTATAACCATCAATGTTAAGGGTCTCAATTTACCAATAAAAGTAAAAATTAATACAGATTAATACAGAGAAACATAAAACCAAATCTACTATAAGGACTTTGGGTTCTAATTCAAACAGAACCCTAAAAAGAAATTAAAGCAAGGTCTCTGCCCTTCCTGAGGCACTGACCTCCCAGCCCCCATCATGCGTTAGTAAATTTGTCTGTTTCTTCTTTTGTCCTTCACTGTTCCCCTCATATAGACAGTTGGGGATCTTGGCCAGGTCATTTTAATTTGCATCTCTTGAGTGATCAATGATGCTGAACATTTTTTCATATATTTATTTGTCATTTGTATTTCTGCATCTGAAAAATGTGAATCGCGGGGCTGGTGATTTAGCTCAGCGGCATAAGTGCCTGCCTTGCAAGCAGGCAGTCATGAGTTCGATCTCCGGTACCGATAAAAAAGAAAAAGACAAAAAAAAGTGTGAATCGGGAGATCGGGCCATGGTGGGACTTAAGCAGCTTATTCACCCGCCCTCTTGGTAAGCACCTGCAGGTTAGGCCTGCAGGAGAACCATTACCTGTGAGCCTACTGCCACGCGGGCTGAAAATCTAGCACCCTTCTCCTGCCTGCCCCTCCCCCCATAGCTACTGGGGATAGATGTTTCAGTATAGCAAATATGGGGGATTTCCTTCTATCTTCTGTTTGAAGGCATAGGTTGTTTTCACTGTTTTGTTATGTTTCTTTTGCTCTATTCAGTATTCTCAATTGGTTTTACAATGTTCTATTTTTGGTTGATTTTACAATACCTAATTGACTGGACGACTATTGTTAAGTTAAAGAGATATACCATAGTATTTATTACTAGTATTCCAGTATCTACTGTGAAACCCTGAACCAATTTCACTGCATTGTCTCGACTGGCTTTGTTCTTTTTTGCGCTGTTGCATTTTTACTACTTTCAAAATTAAAAAAAAAAAAAAGAAATAAATACATATTAAGACTCATGCATGTGTAGAATCTATAAACAGTTTATGAGAACTGATCTTATGACACATGATGAAATGAACAAATACTTTTAAGAAAAAGAGACACTAAAATACCCAGTGCTGATCCTGGAGTATCATAATGTGAAACCCAGCAATAGTATTATTCTTTGTTCAGAGTGATATTAGCCTGCTTGTGTTTATTCAATGTCAACATAATTGAAGATATGGGTAACTGCATGTATGTTTAAGTGTATAAGATTGATAACCATATTTCTAAGTTTTTGTTGGATAGTTGAACAGAACTGATTGCAATCTCACTGGCTGAATCCCCACTTTATATACTCCACTTTAGTATCTTGAATAACTATTTGTAAGAAGAAAATCTGCAATCATCAACTAGTGATTTCTTACTGTTTATTTTTTTCTTTGAAATTATGTATTATTTCTACTCGTTTTCTGTTTTGTTTAGTCTTCTTTAATTCAATTTTAAAAAGACACTACAGTACTCAGTGCTGATCATGGAGTGTCATGATGTGAAATCCAGCAATACTATTATTCTTTGTTCAGAATGATTTTAACCTGCTTTAGTTTGTTTAATTTAGGGGCTCCCCAGCGGTCGTGAGTTTGATCCCTGGTACCGATAAAAAACGAAAAAGACCAAAGAAAAAAGTTTGTTTAATTTAAACATAAATGAGTATATGAATAACTGCATGTATGTTTAAGTGTATAAGATTGACAACCATGTTACTAAGTTTTTGTTGGACAGTTGAACAGAACTTTTTGCTATCTCTCTGAATTCCCACATGTTCCATTTTTGTACCTTGAACAACTATTTGCAAAACAACAACATCAACTAAGTGATTTCTTACTGTTTACTTTTTTTCTCTGAACGTATGTACTATATTTCTACCTATTTTCTGTTTTGTTTAGTCTTTCTTTAAATAAAAATTTAAAAAAAGAAATTAAAGCAAGATGGGATATTTGTTTATAGACTGGGTTATGTAATGCTATGAAACTCTTGGTTTTACAGGTGATGATAGCAAGAAAACAAGGTGGTTACATAAGATGGTCAATTAGAAAGGCATAGAACTGTACACGATGGCTTACATCTATAATCCCAGCACTCGGGAGGCTGAGGCAGAAGCATCATTGTCAGTTTGAGACCAGTCTGGGCTATAAAGTGAGGTCAAGGCCAGCCTAAACTGCATAGTGAGAACCTGTCTCAAAAAGACCAAAAAAAAAAAAAAAAAAGAAAAGAAAGAGAAAGAAATGCTTAAAGTATAATGCCTGGAATTTGCTTTTAAATCCTTCAGCAAATTAAAAAGGAAGGAAATTTTAAAAATATACGAGGGGTGCAGTGGAAAGCTACCCAGCTATAAAGTAGAATAATCTCAATGCTCCTGTAGGTAAACGGACACAACCGGAAATCATGGCCATCGCCAAAACAGTTCGAACTCATACATGTAAACCCTAGCATAAGAAACAGGAGTGAATGGGATCCAAAAGCAAAATAGTTAACGTTAAGAGCAAAGGGGAAGGAACACCTGGGAAGGAAAGGTGGAAACTACTGTCCATTTCTTCTTGAACTCTTGCATTGTTTACACAATTTTGTTAGGTTTGGCTTTGTTCTGTCTTGTTTTGTTGGATTTTATGCTGTTAGATGGTAAAGGCAGCTATTTTGAATATAATGGGATATATTATGGTAGTCATGGTTTTCTATTACATTGCTTTGAAGTCTTATAAGGCTTTCATTCATTGGTTTAATTGGTTTTATTCTGTTGTTTGATTTTATTGCATGAGATGCTATGAACTGCCATTTTGAAGAAAACAAGACATATGGCAGCCATTGCTGATTTACTACCATCTTGTTTTGAAGTCCTACTATGCTTTTGTTCTTCTGTTTTGACTGACTCTATCTTGCTGTTTTATTTGATTTTATTATACGAAATGATATAAACAAATTTTTTGAGGAAAATGAGATATTATAGTAGCCATCATCATTTCCTGTTACTTGGTTTTGAAGTCCTATGTTTTCATTCTTTTGAATGGTTTTATACTATTTTGTTATGTTTGATATTAATGTGTCTGAAGGTATCCTCAATTATGTCGAAGAAAAGGGACATTATGGTAGCTACTGTTGATGTCCGGTTGTCTTGTTGTGAAATGCTGTGTTGCTTGCATTGTTCTGTTCTGATTTGCTTTGTTCTGTTCTCTTTTGTTTTTTCTCTTTAAAATTAAAAAAAAAAAAAAACCTCTCCTGGGTACAAGTGACAAAACCCAAAAGGCTTATAACCTGGATGGGATAAAAGAGAAAGCTGTGTTTGCTGCTTGCTGTTGCTTGCTGCTTGCTGCCTGCCTTGCATGGACTGTTTTTCCTCTGTGATTCCCCTCTGCCTTGCCACCTTTATTGGAGTCAGCTGACTATGCACTAAAACCTCTACAAACTATGAGCGAAAATAAACGCTTCCTCCTTTTAAAACAAAAAACAAGAATATAGTTCAGCAGCAGAGCACCTACCTGGCAAGCACAAGGTTATGAATTCCGCCCCTGGTACTAAAAAATAAATAAATAAATAAAATTTTGGAGCTAAGTGTGGTGGCATACACCTGTAATCCCAGCACTCAGGAGGCTGAGGCAAGGGGATCACTACAGTTCAAGGTCAGTTTCAGCTACAAAATGAGTTTGAGGCTAGCCTGAACTACATAGTGAAAACCTATCTCAAAGAAATAAATAAGAATAAAATATATATATACACATATATATATTTGTGTACACACACACATATATAGACTACATTTTAAGATGTTGGTAACTGATATTTCTGTGTAATGGTTTATGAGAGTCATTATATACTCTCTCTAATCCAAGTTTGAAATTCCTCATATTATCTGTTTACTCATCTATGCATTTACCTTTTAAAAAAAAATAGGGGGGCTGGGGATTTAGCTCAGTGGCATAAGCACCTGCCTTGCAAGCAGGCAGTCATGAGTTCGATCCCTGGTACTGATAAAAAGGACAAAGACAAAAAAAAAAAAAAAAAAAAAAAAAATAGTATAGGCATGTATTTACATAGTTCTAGATCAATGGTTTCCAAATCTGACTATATATTAGAACTTTCAATAAAAAAACCCAAACCTTAGGCCCCTGTACAAGTCAATTAAACCAGAATCTCTGGAGCTAAAGTTCAGGGACCAGTTTTTTCAAAGAGGTCTTCAAGTGATTCAAATGTATAGCCAAGGTACCACTCTTCATAATGAAAAGAAATGACCCATATTCTCTAAAAAATGTATTAAGTAGATTTCTCACACAACATCATCAAGGAGAAAATTTTTCAATATTCACAGGCATTATATTATTAAGAGTTGGAAAACAGAGTAATTCTCAGGAAAAATAACTTTTCAATTTATTCATTAAGTCTAACATCCCATACCTGTCTTATTTTACCAACTTATACTGACATACTATTTACAGTTTACAAAATGCTTTATCTGAATTCACTTATTCTCCTAACAACTTTAATCACATAGGGCATGTATAACTAACTATTAATCACCTCTTACAGAAGAATAAATTGGAACTCAAAAGCCATTTAAATGACTTGTCAAAGTCACTACAACTGGTAAATGTCTAAATCAAGAATAAAACCTAGGTTTTTTTTCTGACCACCTAATCAAATATTCACCCCAGGATATTTGGCCTGAAACACACCTCTGTTCTGATTCCAGTCATGGGCATCACTAAGCTGATTAACATTATACTTGTACCCATCTTGATGGTGAAAATAGTCATCAGTGCTGAACACAATGCCATCACGACTCTGACCAAGCAGAATTCTGTTAATAAAAGAAACCATAAAGATTATTATTTACAAAATTGATAACCACAAAAAATAAAGACATAAAAAAGATTATTAAATAAAATTTCTTATCTTTAAGTACTCTATATTATAAGCACAATAGCACAAGAGTTGAACAACTTTAAAAAGCTCTCAAGTTTCAAATACCAGTTCATACTTAAATCTACACAATTATAGCCAGGATCAAAAACTTTTTCAAGTGAACATTATTCTTGTAACTTTTAAAAAATACTATTTATCCAGCCCAAAACCAATGCCAATTATTATTCATGTTCTAACTTTAATGGGCTGTGATGTTTAAGTGTTTAACATCAATTTGGTGCAACAAGAAACCTAAAAAAGAAGGTTAAGCAGACAGTTCATCTTGGGAGAAACCATACTTAATCAAAGATAGTTTGATAAACTCATTTCAATGAAGCACAAAGATAATATAACACATAAGTTAGAGTCAGAAACAGTCACAGACATAAGGTTATAAAACAACTTATCTTCCAAAGTATAATCAAACTTTAAATTTTTAGAGATTAAATGACTTAAATACAAAACATCAAATAAAAAACAATTCCCAACCCAAAAGATAAATAAATAATAAATTCTCAGATCAGGTCAACAGTAATCAAACTTCGTTTTTACAAAAATACCATCTTAAGTTTCAAAGCATGGTATGTTCAGAGCATCAGAGAATTCCTACAACTAACACCTCTAAAAAGTGATGAGAAGTGTGCTAAGGAAAAATGCAGTAAAATAACAATTTTTTGTTTTTTTGGTGTTTTTTTTTTTTGTACTGGGAATCAATTTCAGAACCCTGCCCTTGCCAGGTAGGCCTCATGCTGCTAAGCTATATCCCTACCGGAATAACAATTTGTATCCAACAAAAACTACTTTGTTGTTTTCATTCCTCTCCCTCAACTATTAAGCAGATATGATTTCATAATTATGAAAGAGTCTGGAGGGTGGATGGTTGGTAGTCAAAGAGACAGAGAAAAAAATTGTCCTGGGATAATTCAAGAATACTTACTTCCTAGTGAACAGTAATAATAAGGAATTCAGTTGCACATTAAGATAACAAATATCTCTCCCTCACAATAAAAATATACATTTTTCTAATAAAAAAACCATGTATCAAAAAATTTAAACACATATTTCCACTCACAGAGTCATAGTTCAAAATACTTTAAACAAACCAAATGGAAGTTATTGATTTGGGCTGTTTGCTGCTTTTGGATTTCAGTTAAGCAGCCATGATTTTCCCAAAATATATCTAACATTTTGGACACCATATTATACATAACCTAGAACATAAGAAAAGCCATAATATTAGGATTCTAAGTCAGAGGTCAATCACTCAAAAAGAGATTTTGGTCACACCTAACCACATAATACATGATTATATTCAATGGTACCAGAAATTTAAAAAGCCTAAGGAAAAGCATTTTTCCTTAGCACATTTAAAAAGCTTTCCCAATGCCTGATGTTCCCCCCGCCTTTTTATTTGATTTTACTGATTTATTAGCAGGTGATTTTTAAGATACAGGTACAGTTTACATGAGTACAGTTATTATATGCAAGAAATGGTTTAAATTCTCCAAATTTAAAAAAAAAAGATGAAAGAGAGAATAGATCAATGTTTATCAAACCAGATCAACATCAAGTATGAATAAATCTCTTTAGAGAAAAAAAACTTTTTTGTGTGGTTATTAGGGACTGAGTTTAAGGCCTTCACAACAATCTATAGCCTCCTCCTCACCTTTTTTTGGAGACAAAGTTTCATTAAATCAGTACACTGTCCAGGCTGAGCGCAAACTTCTCATCCTCCTGCCTCAGCTTCCCACACTGCTGAGATTATAAGTGTGTGCTACCTTCCCTGGCTTAAAACCATCTCTTCTGGGGCTGGAGATTTAGTTCAGCGGCATAAGCACCTGCCTTGCAAGCATGCAGTTGAGTTCGATCCCCGGTAACAAAAAAAAAATACAAAAACCATCTCTTCAAATATGTGGTGTAAGCCGGGTGTGGTGGCTCATGCCTGTAATCCCAGCACTCGGGAGGCTGAGGCAGGAGGATCGTTGCAAGTTCGAGACCAGCCTGGGCTACAAAGTGAGCTCAAGAACAGCCTGAACTGCATAGCGAGACCCCGTCTCAAAAAAGGCAAAAAAAAAAAAAGAAGAAGAAGTAGTTGTTCAGTTACAAAATCAAAGCATAAAACATGAACAATCAAACAATGACAGCACAAACTATTCTGGTTTGATGAACTAACAAAAACTTAGTAGTATGGTTATCTACCTTGCACACCTAAACATACATAGTTATATGTGTATACCTATAAGTTGTTCTTTCCTTTCGAGCACTTTCTTTCCCTTTCATTATTACAGTATTATACATTTCGGATCTTATTACACTTTCAGTGTATTATTATTTATTTTTTACACTAGAAAGACAATACAGTATTTACAAAGGTGAGTCTGATTTACTTCACTTATGAGGATAGTCTCAAATTGCTTCCATTTACTTATAAAAGCCTCAAGATCATCCTTCTTATAGCTGAGTAATATTCCATTATACAAAAATAGCACATCTTTTTCATCCATTCTGTGGTTGATGGGCAGTTTGAAGGCTCAAAGTTTCAATCTTCCTGGCTTAGTCTCTCAGAAGGCAAAGCACCCACATCTGGTTCTAAATTTTAACAGCCATACTGTATAAGAATTCTCTCAAGTAAGGTATAAAACGGGAGACTCAGAATGGAAAATTGAGTAACTCAAATTTCTAATTTAAAAAAAAAATCAAGAGTCAGTGTGATATACACCTACAATCCTGGCACTCAGAAGACTAAGCCAGGAGAATCGCTGCAAATCGGAGGCCAGTCTCAACCACAAACTGAGTTCAAGACTAGCCTGAGCCACACAGTCAGATCTTGTCTCAAAAAACAAACAAATAAACAAATCAGATGTAAGTTCAGTGACCTGTATGTCTTCACAAGTTATTTTTTGAGAACCTACTATTTGCCAAGCATTTATATATATGTGTCTTCATTTAACCCTCTAAACAACTTTCATACTTTGATATTTAATAAATTTAGGAAAGAAAAGAATGTCCAAAGCAAGGCCACCACAGTTACATAGATATAGTGGAAAAGTAAAGACAATGACTCCAAACCCATCACCTATAAGCATCCTTGCCTCCTGGTAGCCTCAGCCTTGCAGAATCTCCTCCCTTGTATGAGACGCTGGACTTAGTCACTAGCTTTTTTTTTTTTTTTTTTTTTTTTTTGTCTTTTTCGTTTTTATTGGTACCAGGGATCGAACTCATGACTGCCTGCTTGCAAGGCAGGCGCTTATGCCGCTGAGCTAAATCCCCAGCCCCTAGTCACTAGTTTTTAAAGAACAGAATATAGCACAGATGATGGGATGTCACTTCCATGATTACCAAAAAAAAAAAAAAAAAAAAAAAACACAAACAAAAAATCTTCTGTTTTAACTTCCTCCTTGTGTGCTTTCTTGCACACTTTGAAAGATACAGTACTGCCAGCCAGGCATGGTGGCTCATGCCTGTAATCACAGCACTCGGGAGGCTGAGGCAGGAAGATCATTGTGAGTTCGAGACCAGTCTGGGCTACAAAGTGAGCTCAAGGCCAGCCTGAACTGCATAGAGAGACCCTGTCTCAAAAAGACAAAAAAATAAAATAAAATAAAATAGAAAGATACAGTACTGTCACATGAATGAAGAGAAGTCCAATGGCCTCCAGCTTCCAAACACCAGGAATGGGCCTTCAAACCAAGATAGCTCACAAATATTTGGACTGTCTCCAAGTCAAGCCCTCTGGTAAGAACACAGGCCTCTCCAACAACATGATTACAGCATTGTTAGGAGTCCCTGAACCAGAAACAACCAGTTTAAATGTACTCAGATTCCTACAGAAACTGTGAAGTATTTCTGTTGCATGCTCATAAGTAACTAATGTACTCTGTGCTCATAATTTCCCAAATAAGCAAGTATTAGGTGGGCCTTCTTCCCAAGAAAAGCTCTACATAAGAGTTCTCTTCAGTTTTTTAAAATTCCTGTGAACTACACATTATTTTACTACATTCATGTGCATTTAAAATTGAAAACAATGTCAAAGAAAGAACAACAGTTCATGAACCCTTTACTTCCTTATTTACTGAGTAGCTCTGCATACCTCTAATCTAAGACTATTGTATCCAGACACTTCATTCTCTAAGCACTCCTTGAATTAAGAAGAGACTACATGAGGAAAGGTAAATCTCTTTCTCTTTTTTTAAACAAGGTTTCACTATGCAGTGCAAGGCTCAAACTTGCCCACGATCCTCCTGCCTCAGCCTCCCAAGTGCTGTGATTACAGGTGTGCACCACCACACCCCAGCTAGGAAAGGCAAATCTTATCTTTGGTTTTAAACTGAGATCTATCTCCTCCAAGTGAGGAAAGAAAAATCACTTCCATATCCCTTAAAATTATGGTAAGTATATCAGTTCCTATTCCTGCTATAAGTAATTACCACAGACTTGTGATTTAAGACATTACTACCTCACAATTCTGAGGGCCAGTCATCCAAAACCATATTCACTGAGCTAAAAGCAAGATGTATACAGGCCTGGATTCCTGTTGAACTCAAAGAGAATCTTTTTTATTTTTTCCTAGCTACTAGAAGTTAAGTGCGCACCTTGGTTTGTGGGTCCTATGGCAGTAAGTAAAAAGCCACCAATGCAATGTCTTCTTTCCTGACTTCTGCTTTGTCTGATTCTGATTCTCCTGCTTCCTACATACCTGCTTCCTGCATATTAAGAACTTTTGTAATTGCACTGGACCCACCCAGATAATCCAAAACAATCACCTCATAAAAAAATCTTCAACTTAAATCACATGTGCAAGTTTCTTGCCTCATAAAGTAACATGTGTAAGTTTTAGAGAGCAGACATGGACATCTTTGGGGAGCTATTATTTAGCCTACTTTGTTCAAGCCCTCAAAGAAAGCAACAACATGACTATGTTCTTTTTACCATTTCTTCTTTTTAATCTGTCATTCACCTGAATTTTTTTTTTTTTTTTTTTTTTTTTTTTTGGTCTTTTTGAGATGGTCTCCCTATGCCTCTCAGGCTGGCCTTAAGCTCAGTTTGTAACCCAGGCTGGTATCAAACTCACAATCCTCCTGCCTCAGCCTCCCAAGTGCTGGGACTACATGCATGCACCACCATACCTGGCCTGGAATTTATTTTTGTGAACCATCTATGGCAGGGTTTTATATATTTTCTTCTAAACTGATAGTCAAATGTACAATTACCATTTATAGTATTAAACCTTTTTCCTACTGACATAAAATGCTATTCTAGGGGCTGGGGATTTAGCTCAGCAGCATAAGCGCCTGTCTTACAAGCAGGCAGTTGTGAGTTTGATCCCCGGTACTGATAAAAAGGAAAAAGACAAAAAAAAAAAAAAAAAAATGCTATTCTAATACATACTTCGTATACAATACTTTTTTATACTTAGGTTTGTTTTTCTTGATTTCTCTAATCTTGTTTGTTCTACCAATTGTTGAAGTTTTAATTGGTTAAGTACACTCTGAAAGATGGTGGGGTAAGTCTCTTTTTACCATTCTTTAAAACTGCCCTGAAACGTGTATAAACCAAACAAACTTTAACAGTGGCTTATCAAAATTCATTGACTTTGTATTAGTTACGGGGCGGGAAATATGACATCTTTTTTGGGTTGCCCCATTTTACTATGTCATCCTAAACACAAACATGCTAAGACCAAAAACACTGCCAAACTATTTACAGTTGGTCCTCCAGATCCACGGTTTTGCCATTTGTGGACTCAACTAACCAGGGGTAGAAAATATTTTTTTAAAACGTTATCTTCATGCTGATGTATACTATGGAGTTAGGCCTAACATGGCTGCATCTATATTGAATGTATTTGCTTTTTTGTTATCAACAATACACCAGTAACAATATTTTACATAACATTTACATTAAATTATGTATTATTTTACATTGTGCAAGGAATCCGAGATGATTTTAAAGGATGCACATGGTGGGGTAAGACTCTTTTTACTATTCTTTGAGATACTCATTACATGCAAACACTACTCCATTTTATCTATAAGACTTGAGCATCTGACGGAACAGATTAGTTATCCCATAACCGGCAGCAAAGATGTTTTGAGCACTTTTTTTTTCTTTTATTTTTAGTACCAAGGATCAAACTCACTTACCAGGCAAGCGCTTGAACCACTGAGCGAAGTCCTTGTCCCAACTTTTGAGCACTTTTTGAGCACACTGATAGTGTAGTTTTGGAACAAACAAGGGGTTCAGATTAGCTCTTGATTCTTAAACTCCAGTCCCAGCACTCAGAAAAATATAATCTGGGATAAATTTACTGATAAATTTACTGGGATAAATTCTCTCTCTAGAAAATTGCTAAATTCTGCCTGAAACCAATCTTTCATCAAAATGTTGTCAGGTAACCTTAAAGGACAAAAAGCTGGCACTTAACCATCACAAACATTTATGAACTGTTTCACATTTAAAGTATTCTGCCAAAAAATAAAAAAATAAAATAAAATAAAATAAAATAAAGCATTTTGCCAAAGAGAACCATATTTTGGATTGTTTTAAAATTTAAGGAGTGAAAAATAAGCATTATTTGAATTAATGGAGTTAGAACTGGTGAGTTTTACTGTATTAGGAAATATTTCAAAATCCGGTTTATATTTACATTGTAAACAGAATATGCACTTGAACATATTTGTGCAGTTGTGAAAAAAAGCTCATAGGAAGTAATACAAATTTTTTGCAGTTTATATAAGACTAATGCATGGAAAAAAATATATTTGATAGCTTTAGGTTAGGAGTTGTTTTGTAAATTTGTACTTACTTGGCAGAATATCTAATTTTTTCTTTTTCTTTAATTTTTTTTGGTACCAAGAATTGAACTCATGCTCTCACACTTGCCAGGCAGGCTCTGTGCCACTGAACTATATCCCAGCCCCTACTTGAGAGACGATCTATATCTCAACAAAAATTTCCTTAGAAAAAAAGTCAGAGAAAGATTTAATTTATAATATAAACATTTCAAGTCAGATTATAAGCTATGATTTTTGAACTTAAATTTTGGCCTTTGCATTTTTTACTTCTCCTTAGGATTTTGTAAACAAGATAAAACTTCAACTCTTTAAAAAGATCAAGGCTACTTTACAAATACCAACAGTCTTCTAAAATTAGTATATGAAGAGAAAATATATATTGAAAATACATAAATTTGGGGGTTTTTGGGGGTTTTTGTCTTTTTCCTTTTTATCGGTACTGGGGATCAAACTCACGACTGCTTGCTTGCAAGGCAGGCACTTATGCCGCTGAGCTAAATCCCCAGCTCCGAAAATGCATAAATTTTGAAACAAGGTCAAGGGATCTCATAGAACCATTTGACTAGAAGTGGGTAAAAATATATATATACAAAAAGGAAGGTTTAAGACAACATATTGTAATCTGTTCAAGTGAATAAAGTAGTGCTAGTTCAATAAAATTATGTAGTAGGATGGTGTACGCCTGTAATTCCTTCACTCAGGAGGCTGAGGCACAAGGGATAGCTGAGTTCAAGGTCAGCCTAGGCTACAGTGACTTCAAGGCCAGTCTCAAGTGGGTAGTGAGTCCCTGTCTCCAAAAGTACATACATAAAAATTCTAGTGAGAGATGATAAGGGTGATTATATGTAATATGTGTATTTATTGGAGGCCCACGTAAACGATTTAAGAACAGAAATTTATTTCCAACTATTTTCATTTGTTGTCACAATTTTAGAGTACTTTCATATATAAAAACACAGTGATATGGGTTGTATTTTCAAGTGTCAAGTGTTCTTAGTTACTTTTCTGCTTTTGCTGAGACAGAATACCTGACACCCAAAATTAAGGAAGGAAAGGTTTGGCTCACCGATTACGGAAGTTTCAGTCTCTAATCGGCCAGCTCCAAGGCGCAGCGGCATGGCAGAGGGGCAGTTCACAGAGGCAGAGGACAACAGCAGCAGCAAGAGCAAAAAAGGGGAAGAGCAAGCCTCCTTTTCCCCCTTACACTGTACCCAAGCTACCCCACAACCAGTCAGGTGTAGCACTCTACAAAGTGAGGATCCTGGCCCCCTGCTGACTCAATTAGTTAAATGTCTAACTTTTCAAACTGACACAGTGCATCAACCATAACCAACAGCTACAGGAAGAAGTGCAGGTTAATTTAACAATTACAAAAAAAAAAAAAAAAAAGATCAGGCTCAGGCTTTAGCTCAGTGGTAGAAGTGCCTACCTGACAAGCACGAGGTCTTGAGTTCAATACCTGGTACCAAAGATAGTAAAAATCATAGTGTGTATTTTCCATTCAATGATATGAACATAACACAGTGCTTATTAACATTTTAAAAATTTCTCTGCGTTGTCAAAATAATTCCAGAAAAATCAGTATCATTCATACAACTAGCAGGCAATAAAGCATGCCCAAGATCACAAAGTGAAATAACTAAGTCAAAGGCCCCAAGTCTTCCAAAACTAAACCCAACTTTTCTTAAATAGCTGATCTAAAAAGAAAGGCTAACAAAGCCCTTAAACTGCATTTGCTTTCATTACTGTCATAGGGCTGGAGGTTTAGCTCAGCGGCATAAGCGCCTGCCTTGCAAGCAGGCAGTCCTGAGTTCGATCCCCGGTACCGATAAAAAAGAAAAAGACAAAAAAAAAAAAAAAAATGAGTTTATCTTTCATTACTGTCATAATTACACATGGTGTATCTATTTTTAAAGCCCTTAACAGAATCTAAATAGAAACACATACGCGACAATTCTCTCCTTCCCATCATAAAACATCTTTTTGAAACAGCCAGGCATGGTGGCATACTCCTGTAATCCCTGCACTCAGGAGGTTGCTGCAGGAAGATGCTTTTGAGTTTGATGTTACAAAGTGCTGAAGGCCAGCCTGAACAGCATAGTGGAACTCTGTTTTAAAAAACGCAGTTTACAAATTCAGTATGGGCTGTAAAAAAAACCCAAAGTATTTACACTTTCAGGTGCCATTCTCAAATACTGTACAATATGTATTTTTTCCTACTAGAAACTTGAAAGCATTCATCAATTACAAATCATTTGATTTTTAAATAAACAGTACTGGGGCTGGGGATTTAGCTCAGCGGCATAAGCACCTGCCTTGCAAGCAGGCAATTGTGAGTTCGATCCCTGGTACCAATAAAAAGGAAAAAGACAAAAATAAATAAACAGTACCAAGCATTTACTTGGTATTTTTTACTTACCGAGACAAAGTTGTTTTCCCAGAACCAGGAAGACCTCTTAAAAGAATAAGTAATTTCTGTAATTTATTTAACTTTTCTTCTTGAAACTGTTGATTCATAAACCTGTCCATTCCATTAAACTCATCCATACGAGGCTCTTTCCAACTTCCTTCCCTGATTTCACATAAACCATTATTTACATATCCATCTTGTACACTACAACCATTTCTAGGAGGATAAACACGACTGCTATTCTCACTATAGTCAGTATACTCATTGTTCTGATCAAAAGTCAAACAATTCCAGTTAACACAACTATCTATATCATACCCATTTTGTATCCGATATTCGTCTTGAGCATGGAAAATATTTGGTGATGGATTTGGCGGAGCACCGAATCTTTGAATACTTAAATGATGGTTAAAACTGGGAACAGGGGGACCACAGGGTACTATGAAGGGATGCACTGATTCCCATTCAGGCCTGAAAGAAGTAAATGAAGTATCACAAAATGTAGGTATTACTTGTCCATCATAGACGTATTTGCCTGGCTCATTGCCCAAGTACTGCTGGTAACCACTATGTGATTGAGGAACACTATTAAGATATTTACTTGTGTCATCAGATTTTAAGACATCATTACTGTGGCTCTCATAATTTTTCTCAGGAAAAAGTTGTTCCTGAGAAGGTTCAGATTCCTTACAACTGACTTCTAAATTGTCTTTTTCATTTTCAAGTTCTTCAATTTCTTTGTAAAACTGTGATAATTCAGTGTCAATCTCTAATTTTTTGCTGTTAAATTTCCGTTTCTTCTCTTGTCTTCTTTTACCATTTGCACCACTGTGAGTGTCTGTTTCATTCCTTTCATGACATTTTTTTTTCTCAGGGGGTTTGTAAATAGGTCCTATAAATGCCTTACTTGTACTATATATTTCATCATCTTGTAAAATTTGTGAACCAGTGGATTCAGCAACATTTAGTCTATTAGGTTTCTGCAAATCTGTGGTTTGGGTTTTCTCCTTCTGAAGATAATCAGCACTGCTATGACGTGGGAAAACGTGGGCTTCTGCAGCTGACTTCAACTTTTTATAGCATGGTTCATTTGTTAGTTCTTTTCCAGGTCCCAAGAACTTAGCTTCAATTTCACCATAAGGCATCTGAGTAAATAAATCACATAATTAACTAATGTTTTTTTAAAAACAAGATATTTCCTCATAAATAAGGAATTTAAAAAAGACATTTAGTCAAGTATTTAATAGTAACATCTCCCAAAATACTACAGTAACAAACTATCATTTTAGGCCAAGTGTAATCATGCATTCCTGTAATCCCAGCCCTCCAGAGACAGATTATCAGAGGTTGGGGGCAAGCTTGGGCTACACAGTGAGTTCAAGGCCAGCCTTGAGCTACATAGTGAGATCTTGTTTCAAAAAAGAAAAAATAAAATTGTAATTTTATAGCTAGTTATTTAAGTATTGTCATAACATAACAATTTATGGGATAGGTCTCATTTTTAAATACCTTTTAAAAAAAAAAATAAGTGTCTTGAGGGCTGGGATTTAGCTCAGGGGCATAAGCCCCACCTGGCAAGCACAAGGTCGTGAGTTCCATCCCTGGTACCAAAAAAACCAAAAACAAACAAACAAACAAAAAATAGTGTCTTTCAACATTCTATTTCTGACTTGAGAAATTAAGAATTTAGGTTTAGGGGGCTGGGGATTTAGCTCAGCGGCATAAGCGCCTGTATGGCAAGCAGGCAGTCATGAGTTCGATCCCTAGTACCGATAAAAAGGAAAAAGACAAAAAAAATTAAAAAAAAAAAATAAAGAATTGAGTTAGCAATATATATTTTGATGATACAGCTACACAACTATGAAAGAATAAAACTGCCAAGCAAACTGACATTTATAGCTAAATTAGTTATAAATATTTTCCTGTTTAAAATCACTATGTCCTTTGGAGTATTATGGTTCAAACGTCCAACTTCAAACAACCATGTTATCTCTGGCATCCAAATATTAGATTAACTGAAATGAATGCACTCTATGGGCCCTTTTCTTGTGAGAAGTGAAAAAAGCTTCCCACACGGATATAATGTAGCAATTTGAAGGAAAAAGAAAACTCGAGTTGCACTGATGACCCAAATGTATTATGCTTAGAGATCTGGCAGTCATTCAAAATCAAAGCATTCAGTTTTACAGCTTGACTGGTCTATCTCGTAAAATAAACTTTTGCTTCTTTTGAAATGTATTAACTGAGCACTTCCGTAATCCCAGCACTAGGAAGACTGAGGCAGGAGGATCGTTGCAATTTCAAGATCAGCCCGGGTTACAGAGTGAGCCCAAGGCCAGCCTGAACTGCATAGCGAGACTCTGTCTCAAAAAAGGAAGTATCAGTAATACTCAAGAGTCTAATCCAAAAGGCTGTTCGGCGCAATACTATTTCATTCCGTCCGCTCTCTGGTGTTCCTCCCAACACGAATCCAAAGGAAAGGGCAACAAGACGGAACAGAGATGCCGGGGAAGCCTAAAGGAAGCTTCAGCTGTGGACAACACTCCCCACCTCGGGAAATCACCGAGGCCACCCCTCAGCCTCCCTTTCCTCCCGCACAGGGTCGGGAAAGCCCCGCGGAAGAGCAGGCGAGGCGCCTGCCAGGTGTGGCCCACACACACCCTGGACACACGCGTGGACCGGGCCTCCCCGGCGAGCAGCTGGACATCCGCGCGCTCCCACCTCTGACACAAAGGGGTCCGGTCTCGGAACTCGGAGGTCTCCGAGACTCACACTCACTCCTGGCGTCTACAGTCAGGCTACAGGGCTGATCTCGAAGCAAGCCAGCGACAACCCGAGTCGCTAAGGGCCAGAGGAAGAAACCGAAAACGTCACCGACACACCCTCAGGAAAATGGGCCGTCTACTCACCTTCTAGAACCTCAGCATGGACCTTTAGCTCGCGAAAAAAATTTTTTTCTCCAACAAAACAAAAATCTCCGTAAACGTGAAAGAGACAAACACCACCACAAAGCAAGCAGATGGAGGGACCAAATGCCCAGCCTTCAGACTCTTGAGGTAAGTAATCAACAAGACCTCCGTACGCAAGATGGCGACCATCTCATGGTTACCCCGGCAGACAGTATGGATTCGCGCTAGGCATTGTGGGAATTGAAGTTCGTCGTTTACGCTGGCTTTGTGAATCTCTCTGCATAGAGACTCTGTCTCCCAGAATCCATTGCGTGGCGTACCACTAATTGGGCAACAAACAGACCGCAAGAAGTTCCTGGAGTAGCTCGGAAGTTATTTAGGAACCCTAATTTTGGTTTTTTAAAAAAGCTACCTAGTCAGGCAGAAACTTCTCACTGTGCATGAATTTCCGGTTTTCAAGGTGACAAAGAATCAGCTAACTTTTCAAAACAGGATTCAACATTTTCTATTGCAGAATTGTGTGCCACCGTTTCTCAGAAAACTACCAGGTATAATTTTAGGCCTGTCAGAGGAGAGAAGCCTTCTAGCACATTGACCCCACAACCAATAAACGCGCGGAAAATCTTCGTTGTTTTGGTTAATAAAGACCAATTAAGAGCTTGACCAAAATTCATATGAAAAGTACTTAAAATAGAGAACTCATGGTAGGAGTAAGTGTTTGCTAATAAATATAAATGGATTTATGGAAATCCTAAATTGAGGATTCCTTTTCCATCTCCCACTTCCGCTAGACTGGCTCCCTCCACTCCCCATTCTTTCACGTACTTTTTTGTGTTTTGTTTTGGTCTTTTTGAGACAGGGTTTCCACTGTGCAGTTAGTGATCTCTTGAACTCACTTTGTAGCCCAGCCTGCCCCAAACTGGTAGCTGTGATTCTCCTGCCTCAGCCTCCCTAGTGCTGGGATTACAGGCATGTACTGCCATGTGCGACTCACTCCCCATTCTTTTGGGTTCCTACAAGGGAAACTGTGAATTTCTATGTAAATAATTCTCTTGGGGTACTAACATGATAATCTGCTTATTTATAAATGTAATAATTTAAAATCACGTCTGTAATATTTATACTCATTTAACTAACACCGTTGTGACCAAGAAGGCTCATTAGAGCAATTTATCACCGTACAAAGTACCTCAAATATAAATTCGCACTGCGACTTGAGTCAGTTTATAATTCAAATTATGCATTTTTCTTTGAAGTAACAATGGAAGTAAGGTTGTGATCTTTTCAGGGTATTAAATCCAGAGTCACAGGATGGCTCATCTTAAAGTAGTATTAATCTTTTTTTTCCTTCTAGAACGGGAGATAGAATCCAAGGCTTTTGCCCTGAGCTATATTCTTTTTAAATTTTATTTTGAGGTAAGGTCTCACTAAATCGCTGTTACCCAAACTGGGCTGGAATTTGCAATCCTCCTGGCTCAGCCGGCCAGAGAGCTAGGATTATAGGCATGCACCACCATACCCAGGAGATATAAACCTTTTTGTTCCACCACCATGTTCTTCAATTTCTTCTCTGAAATAGCTCCCTTTCAGCTAACTGATAAGCAATTTGTAACTTGACACTTTGAGACCAACTAAATATCCAGCCCCTAATCAAACTTTGTGGTTCAGAGTCCAATGATGATTATGTCCACTGATGTTCATTGTGAACACAAATGTTGATTTTTCCAATTCCTTCAAGTCCTTACATTTATTAATTCATATACTGCTATAAAAATGAGCCTCATTAGCCAGGCATGGTGACACACACCTGAAATCCCAGCACTTGGGAGGCTGAGGCAGGAGGATCATTGCAAATTAGAGACCAGCCTGGGCTACAAAGTGAGCTCAAACCCAGCCTGAACTGCATAGCGAGACCTTGTCTCAAAAAAGACAAAAATAAAAAATAAAGATGAGCTTCATTTATTATCAGTGTGAATTACTTTTTGCTTAAGTACATTGTTGTACTTGTGTACTTATTACTAACAAACTACATTTAGGACAATCTTAGTTGTAGAGAAAAGTTGAACAGAGTGCCCATGGGTCTCACACATGAGTGCGTCTCCCTGATTATTAACCTCTTACATTTCCATGATACCTTTTTACACCTAATAAACTAACCCTGATAGCACATGTCATTGGTTTTCATCTCACGTCCCTTTATAACTGGCACTGCAAAGTGAAAATTTAGAAGTTTAGATGGGGGGGGGTTGTTTTGTTTTTTCCCTTCAGAGGCAAGTGGCTTCTTGAGGCCTAGGTCATAAACAGCTTCCCTCCCCTCTCCTCAGCCCAGATGAAGAACGGAACATGCAGGTGCTGACTCCTGGAAGCCTGGAGCCCAGTTTTCTTTCTACAAGAAAGCGGACAATAAACTAAAGATGGCTCAAAGTGATAAAGCAAGTGTCAGTGCTATGCCTAGATGACCCCCCAAAGCCTCATGCAGTCATAGGTGGGGCTTTTCCGAGGTGGCTGGATCTAGGGTGTGTGACGCTGGGATCAAGGATGTGTGCTTGCTCAAGTAGACCACTGATTGGTTTGGCATCATTTTGGGTGTGGATAGTGGGAAGGCCCACACTAGATATGAGTGCCGGTCAGCTGGATGGAATATAAGGGACAGAAAGAAAGGTGCTGTTATCACTTGCTGCTGCTCCTGCCTCACGACTTAGCTGCTTTGCTGCCTTCTGCTGCTGTGAACTGTCTCCTCTGTGATGACCCTCTGCCATGTCACCACCTTGGAGCCAGCCAGCTATGAACTGAAATCACTACCAACTTTGAGCTACAACCCTCCCTCCCTTAACTTTGTGTTAGGTGTTTTGTCTCAGCAACAAGAAAAGTAACTAAGACAGTGAAGGTGTGCTTTATCTCTTTGTATTGTCCCTCTCTTCCCTCTGTCTCTTACTATAAAAGACCCTTACCCTCCTGCACATGGTGAGGTGGTGGTTTGAGGTATGCCCCTCCATCTCCTGAGCTAGCTTTGAACAAATCCTTTTTCCTTTTAGCCAAATGTATGATTTCATAAAAGGCGAGGAGACAAACCTAAGTGCTGGTAACAGTTTCTGTTTCAGGATCTTATGGTATTGATCTAAAATGTTCCTCAAAATTCTCACATGTTGGGGCTGGGGATTTAGCTCAGCGGCATAAGTGCCTGCCTTGCAAGCAAGCAGTGGTGAGTTTGATCCCTGGTACCAATAAAAAATGAAAAAGACCAAAACAAACAAACAAAAGAATATTATAAAATTCTCACGTGTTCAGAGGTGGGGCTTTTGGACAGTGACTGAATCATTGGAGTACTATACTCACCAGTGAATTAATTCATTGCTGAGTTCATACCAGAATGTGCTACTAAGAGATGAGACCTGACTGAAGGAAATGGGTCTCTGGGGTGTGACCTGGAAGAGAATATTCCTGTCTCCAGCTCTCTTTCCCTCTCTTTCTCCTCCCCTGGCCCTTGTACCATGCTGTTTCTTCCTCGGAGAAAGCCAACCGTGGACAGAACCTCCTGAACCTCCTGAAAGTTAAATAAACATCTCTCCCTTTAAATTGTGGGTATCAGATATTTTGTCCCAGTGATGGTGACTAATACAGAGCCTATCCAGCATATTCTCTCACATTTAGCATGTTTGCTTAGGCGGCTTTTGGCTTCTATAGTTTTTTGGACTTTACTTGAGACAAGACAGAGGCAGGATACAAACTCAACCTTCTAAGCAGATTTATTTGAAAACTCGAGAGGGACTTCCCTGGTCTGGCAAGAATAAGAGAAAAAGAAGCCAAAGATTTAGCTCAGTGGCTTAAGTACCTGCAGGTGCAAGGTTGTGAGTTCAATCCCTGGTGGAAAAAAAAAAAAAAAGAATAAGAGAAAAGGTTCTTTCTTACAGACTCAAGGGAATTAAAGGGGTGGAAGGGATCGAAGTTGTTTCCGACTGGAGACTCCCAGAACACTTGGTGGGGGACCTTGGAATTCCTTTATTGGTAATCTGGCTGTTTCACCTGAGAAACCGAAGGTCAAATAAATAGAGACTTAGATCTCCTGAATGGTTGTCTTTGATCAAGGTAGCAGTACTCCTGTCCAGTCTCTAGCATTCCAATCTTGCAGCAGTTCTGGTCAGGACTCTCAGATTGGCTAAAAGAGGGGTCAGCTGGGCTGCCCGCTGAGCTCTGATATGGGTAATGGGTGAGACAGGAATAGGGAGATCAGATGTAGCCACGCCGAGGATGGGAGAAGGGAAGACCAGTGTTCAGATTCCCAAGATACCAGAATCTAGACAAAAAAGGCATCTGGAGATGAGTAAGGAGGAGGAGACTGGGAGGTGGGTTGCAAAGAAGGTATTGGATGATTTCAAGTTTATTTGAAAGGAGGAGCTAAAGTCTGTGACTGTATTCCTGGTTGAGAGACACAAATATTTAAGACTTGACCCTGAGGAATATCAAGATGCTTGCATTCCTGAGTCCGAGTATGGGATAAAGGGAAGTCTTTAAGAGGATTTTTAACTCACTCTTAGAAATACTTGGATGTGAGAGTTTAAATTGCTTGAAAGGAATTATACCTGGGTACCTGTCTTTGAATTTCTAGATGATTATCATTGCATTGGTCATAAAGTTGAAAGATTTGGATTGTAGCTTGACAGGAGGAAGAAGCAAGAGAGAACCAACTGGAGAAGCAGAGTTATTTTGTTGTCTGATGGTATAACAGAAAAATTAAAACTTAAGCCTTCCTGCCTGGCTGATGCAATAACTCCATAATGTCCTTATTCTGACTGATGTAGCAAAGCCACCAGATGTATCATTCTATATAAAACCATACAACCAAATAAGACAAAATGAGCCTGTTTTGTCTATGCTGCTCCCGAAAACTTGTAAACACATCCTGTCCCCATCAGCCTGCCCTAGGAATTTCTTGCTTAGTAACTGATGGCCAGGACTTTTACTTACTCCTGGACACCCATGCTCTCTGCTTCTGTATTTCCTGTTTGCTAAATACCATATAAACCCCAACCTAACTACAGCTCAGGGCTGATGCTTTAGGAATGATCCCCTGTCAGCAGTCAGCCTGGCGACCTAATAAACATGTGTCTTCTAACTCCTTGGTATGGAGTATCTTCCTTTTGGTTCTGTACTGGTTCTGCAACAATTGGCACAGAGGGGGTCCTT